CAGAACTTACTTGGTTTATTGAATAACTTTGATCATCTTCTAAAGATGAAACAACACTTGATGGACAAGTTTCGGAAAAATCACACTTTTGTTTATAGTAGACCATTTTTTTATCTGAGGAACACACTACTAACTCTTCTTTTGAAAGAACATTCTTTGAATAGTAAACTCCATCGCTATCTTCAACATAAATTTCTGGACATGGAATATTTGATATTAAGGGATTCGATGATCTTCTTCTTGAAGAATGAACTGCAGTAGTGAGCGCTTTTAGTTCTGAAGCACAAAATGTTGATGCCCGTCTTCTGTTGTTCAATTGATTTTTTTGAGATGATAACTTTTCCGTTCCATTTAAATCTAAGAAATTTGTTTGTAAAAAGTTTTGATCACCTGGTTGAGGAGAACTACTTAACTCCACTTTGTTATATGCAATGTTCGAACTACTAAGTGAGCGTTGGATTGACACGTTGCTTTCTTTTTCAAAGTGAAAGTCATCATCAAAGAAACCCGCTGACAAAGGTCTACAATAAGATCTTCTTCTACTTTTTGATGATGGTTGATCTGTAAGTGTATCTTTTGTTGTTGACCACTTCAACATATCGTTCGAAATTTGATTTAACTAGTTCATAACAGTAACTATTTTTCGTTTTTAATAAACCTCACAATATTTGTATAAAACAGATAAATACTGTTACCATAGTAGCAATAAACTTTTAACAATATATTAACTACGTAGAAAAGAAATGGGAAATTACAGTTTTTGTGTTAATAATGAGAAAATAGGTTCAATTACAAATTACGCAATTTTTTATTAATATTGACATTATATTTAAAAAAGAAGACTTCATTTTTTTTGATTTACAAATATTACAATATAAAAATTTAAATTCTATTAATTAACCACAACCATCAACAAATTATTAAATTAGATACAAACTTTTAAATCAGATTATAAAATTGTCAACCGTCAATTTTATTATGTTGTAAATATTTGCAATATAAAAGAAAATGTTCATTTTCTGATTTAAATTTTCTTTTCTTAAGATAAAATTGTTTTACCTTCTTTTTATACACAGTTGTAATGGTAATATAAAGGAGGTATAACTTATAATTTATGCTTTCTATTTACTATTTAGATGCATTCATTAAAGATCCAACAAAAATCAAAATTGGTTTAATCACTTATTTTACCATTGTTGCAAACATTTTTTACTAATAAATAATTAAAGTATTTAAATAAAGATTAATTCAGTTTTTCAAATATTTATTGTCACCTTTATTTTTGATGAAATGTTTTTTGATTTTCTTTTTGTAATTTAAAGTATAAAGTTAATAGAAAATGTGTTTTAAAAAAGTAAATTGCTTCCTCCATGGAAAATAAAAAATAGGTGCACCACCTCCTTCAACTATGTTAATTAACGATAAAAAAATTAAATTTTAAATATGTATGAACTTTAAATTATTTAAAAATGTCAATAATTTATAACAAATATCTAAAAACTTTTTTTTTAGGAAGTCAGGGAAGAGAGGCATGTTAATACACTTTCTATTAAAAGTTATCACGTATTTGTTTAGCTTACTTAATATTTCATAAAACATATTATTTAAATTTTGTCTTAGTTAACAAGTAAGTTAACATATAACAAATAAGACAGATAAGGTGGGTGTGTAGTCAGTGTGTTCTTTATCAATGAAAAGACGTGTGCAAATACACAGTTTTTATAAAAGGTTTGGATGTAAAAAAAACTAACGGTGCTCTTCCTGATGCAATTTGAAATGCATCAGGGACAGCTGCAGTGAAAAATATTTAGAATGATGCAATCCAGTATATTTACGCAACGTTTACACAAGCTTTCACTCAACTAGTAGTCACTGTGTCAATTAAAAGCCGGTACCCAGTGGGCACGGACGTAAAAAAGACGTCTTTTAAATGTCTTATACACGTTTTATTCGTCTTTTGAACGTCTTTTGAACGTCTTTTAAATGTTCAAAAGACGTCTTATTTTGGTCCGATGCCCACTGGGTAAGCTCCAAAAGGTATATGCTTGTGTACATGTATGGGCTTTGGTATAAGGTGACTCTGTCAGGCATTTGTTGGATGATAAGAATAAACCTCAACACTATTTTTATAATTGTTGTTTAGTTTTTATTTAAATTTTTTATTAAGCTTTCATTTAAAAGCAAGTTGTTTTAAACTTTATATATTTTTGTTGTTTTAAACTTTATATTTTTTATAAAACTTTATATTTTTTTATGGAAACAAAATTGTAAATAAAATTTTTAATTTTTAAAGTAATGTTTTATGAATATGATAGCGTAAATTAATATTAGTATAATATAACTATTAATTATTTAAAAAAACAAAAAGACTAAAATTATTAGTTTAAAACTATTCTTCACAACTAATACGTCATTTGTAAGTTCACTATGTACTTTTTTTACATGTTTAATCAACTACATGTTTTTTTGTTGTGTTTTTTAAATAAGCGTATGAAATATTTGAAACAGGCTTTAAGAGATTTTAAGTTTAAGCGTATTTCTAATAAAGGTGAGTTTCCACTCATCCGTTTTTTCACGGGAACGGGAAAGGAAAGGGAAAAATAATCACGTGGGCATGCGTATTATAAGTTTTAATTTGTCCGAAGTAAAACTGCGCATGTTCAAGTGAATATTTTTCCCTTTCCTATCCTGTTCCCGTAGAAAAACGGATGAGTGGAAACTCACCTTAAGACTTGCTTATTTCAATACTTTTGAGAATCTGTCCATTATTGTAGGTTAAACATAATTCAAATAAAACAACTAATCAATCAAAATATATTATTCGTAAATAGTTGTTACAGTTATTAATTTTTGCAAATAGTACATGTACTAATTTTAAGTAAAAACCTTGGTTCAACAACAATAAATAAATATTATAATAGCAAATAAAATAGTAAAAAAAACATTGAGCTACGTAGTATGTTTGCATTTGTTTTAAAGTAACTGAAACTTCAGGGTTGTGATGTAATAATCAAAAATAACTCACACCAAAACATTAAAAATAACACACATCAAACACCACAATCAAAAATAACACACATCAAAGCATCAAAAAATTATATACAAACGTTATCAATAAAATCAAAGATTAGAACTTTTCATTCGTTTTCCTCAGGATCAATAAAAATCATCTGGACATTTTTATTTGCAGCATCGTTCACCTCCACCTTTAAAAACCAGTGTAATTTCTTTTGAGTTGATCAATAACATAATCAGTTATGGATGAGTGCATTGTAATTATTAAGGTCTTCCAATTTGATAAGCAAATCTTCAACGCTATCAGAAGTGATTAAGCACCCTGTCATCATCCAAAAATTTTCTTTTTCATTATTATACTTAAATGTGTTTAAAGCTTTTAACACGTCTCTGTCCAATGTGTAATCAAACTTCATCCTTCTGTATCCAGCCATTTTTCATGTTCAATTGCAACAGCTTTTTCAGAGTGGCAGCGTACCCTACCTCAACTGATAGCTAAAGGTTGATAGACCGTACCAAAAAATTCTTTGGCATTAGCCACAATTCTTCCTCCACCTGTTTTTTTAAATTGTTCAACAAAAGAACAAGTTTATCTATTTTTCCGATTCCATTTTTTCAATTTCCAAGTCCGTTTTTGTGAGATCCATGTCGCATCTATGCCCTTAAAAACATAAGTTTTTTTACCAATTAATCAACTGAACTGTCCCATTCCTCAAATAATTTAAACACCCCTATTATACGACACAAATACTTATAGCCATGTCTGTAGCTAATTTATCAAGAATTTTATCTGTTCCGTTCTCTGCTTTAAATTTATTACTTCTTAAATATTTCTGTCCAGGTCGTGCTAACAAATGTTATCCTTATATAAGGTTGTTGAATATATATATATATATATATATATATATATATATATATATATATATATATATATATATATATATATATATATATATATATATATATATATATATATATATATCGGTGGTTAAGAGCACAAAGGGAATACGTCTAATAACCATTGTTTTGAGAAATTACAATAATTCATGATATTTATTTATTGTCATGATTTTTAACCAAATGTATTCCTCAATTAATTCTGTCTTTGTTTTACTATTTTATTTTCATTTCTTTTACATACTTTAATACCTAATTTGTTTAATGTTTACCTAATGTTTAATGTTGGACATATTCCCTTTGTGCTCTTAACCATCGATATGTGCATACATATATATATATATATATATATATATATATATATATATATATATATATATATATATATATATATATATATATATACATATATATATATATATATATATATATATATATATATATATATATATATATATATATATATATATATATATATATATATATGTATATATATATATATATATATATATAATATATATATATATATATATATATATATATATATATATATATATATATATATATATATATATATATATATATATATATATGCCACAACAGCCCCGATCGTAAGAGAAAAATGTGATAAAATTTTTTTTGTTATACTGACAGACACAAAGGTCCACGACATTTTCAAAGTGGTGCTGCAAAAAGAAAAGTATCAAAGGATCGTTCTGAACGAGAGGCTTGAGAATTGAACAAAACACCTCGAATTACTTAATTCTTAATTGGTCAATCAGATACAGAAAATGAGACACCAGCTTCATCATGCAGTATGTCTATTGCTTACCAAAATCCCGAGGACAGCCAGAATGTGAGAAAACAGACATTGCTTTAGATCAAGAATTGCCTGAATGTCAAGGCAGTCAAGTGAATATACAAGCTGATGACATCAGCAGGTGCCCAGAAAAATCACAGCAGAATTCATCAATTACTAGGCTGGCAGAGACCCTATGGATCTCTACTAAAGTGATGTCAAGTCTTTGAATGATAAATCAGCAATCCAGAAAGCTGCAAACATCGTCAGTCGGAAATGTACACCAACAATGTTTCAGCGATCGAATCGCAATAGAGAAGTTGTAAAACGTTCTTGGCTTTGCTTTTCTCCGGCAAATGGTCGAGTTTACTGTTTTTTCTGTGAGTTAATGGGTACTGTGAGATTCAAATTTACACACGATGGTTTCTGTGATTGGAAACATGCTACGGATCGACTCAGTTCGCATGAGCAATCCAAAGATCATATTGAAGCTGTTTGGAAAACAGCAAGTCGTGCCAAAAAATCTGGACGTATAGACTCTGAATTTGGCCATAAAACGGATCGACATGAACATTATTGGCGTAGTCTGCTTAAACGACTAATAAGTGTGCTTAAGTTTGTATGTGAACGAGGTCTCGCTCTTCGTGGAAATAATGAAACGATCGGATCGCCTAACAATGGCAATTATTTAGGGTTACTAGAACTTTTGGCAGAATACGATGATTTCTTAGGACATAAAATACATAAAAAACATTGCCAGTCGTGGTTCTGGTCATGCAAATTATTTGTCATCTACTGTCTGAGAAAAACTTGTTAGACTAATGGGCAATCGAGTTTTAAACAAAATCGTTTTACGCTTAAAATTGTCGAAATACTATTCATTGTCTCTTGATTCTACTGCTGATGAAGGTTATGTTGATCAGCTAACTCTAATATTCAGATATATGGAACAAGATAGACCAGTTGAAAGATTCGTGAAGTTTTTGCCGAATCAAGGACAAAAAGCGGAAGAAATGTTTTGTGGATTAATGAATTTCCTTGAAGACCATGACATTGACATTCAGTATTGTCGTGGGAAATCTTACAATAACGCTTCAGCTATGAGTGGGAGATACAATGGCCTTCAAGCTAAAGTGTGAGCTATAAATCATCACGCAACTTGGATACCCTGTGCTAGACATTTACCAAATCTGTTTGGAGTAGCAGCGAGCGAATGCTGTGCTTCAGCAGTAGCAGTTTTTTACTTTCTCTCGGCACTATATGTGTTCTTCACAGCTTCCACAAATCGTTATGCACTTCTCACAGACTCTCTAAAAAGTGTGGAATCTGGTTGGGTATATGTACCGAAAAGGATGTCTAAAACACGATGGTCCTGCCGATCCGATGCAGTAAAAGCTCTTACCGTTGGATATCATCCTATCCGCAATACACTTCAAAATATATCGGAGAATGAAAATGAAACCCCTAAAGCACGTTCTGAGGCAAATGGTTTTCATGGCAAGATGTGCAAACTGGAAACTGGTATTTATGCTGCATTTTGGCACGACATTCTTGTTCAAAGTATTGCTAAAAGTCATATACTACAAGATCTCAAACTTGATCTGAACACAGCCATAGCAGCACTGAGGTCTGTGCAGTGTTTTGCGAGTGAAAAACGAGAGCATTTTTGTGATTATGAGGAAAAAGGAAAGGAGATGTTGGGAACTGATGAATATGTAAAACCACGCAAGCGTTATTAAAGCAAATGGCTCACTCCATTAGATTATGGAGGATCAGGAGAAGCTAGACTTACGGCATCTGAAAAATTTCGGCTTCAGAACTTTCTCCCTGTAATAGATCAATATCAAACCTCTTTGAATCAACGCTTAAAATCATATGAGAATACCTGATCTCTTTTCGATTTTTTGAGAAAACTGGATTCCCTGGAGTGCAATGAGATAGAAGCAGCTGCAAGAAAATTGGTTGATGAATATATAATGATTTAGATCCAGCACTTGGTGGTGAGCTTGTGCAGTTTACTGCTTTCTTCACTGAATTTCTTCTTGAAGAAGATGATAACATTTGGAGGGAACATTTTATTTACAAACTATTGCTGAAGAAGCAAGCTGCGGATACATTTCCAAATGTTGAGATAATGTTACGAATGTACTTGGTCCTAATGATCACAAACTGTTCTGGGGAACGTTCGTTCAGTAAAATGAAGTTCATAAAAAATCGGCTCCGCACTACAATGACTCATGACAGGCTTAATTTTCTTACTTTGATAAGTACTGAATATGATATTCTCAGAGAGATTGACTTTAACCAATTGATTCAAGACTTCGCAAAGATGAAGTCTTGTAAAGTGCCGGGCTTGTAATTATAATTTCAATTCATCTGTTTCCCTTTTCCAGATGTCTTCGACTTTGCGTGTTAATTGTGTTTAACTATTTGCTTGTTTATTAATGAAATATAAATATTTCATCAATCTGTTGTGTATGTACAGTTCTTAATATAATCACATTATTATGAATAAGAATGCTACCTTTTTGTGTTTTTAAGGTAGAATGTTTTATTTAACTATATGATTCAACTATATTAATTAAAGATGAAGAAATGCACATCACTATTATTAAAAATAAAAAGAGTTATCTTTTTTGTGTTTTTAAGGTAAAGTGGGCCTCCATAAAATATATGCCCAGGGCCTCCACATATCTAAATCCGGCCCTGGCTGTTCCTCTGTGTTTATTTCCACTTAAGTCTAAATACTTCTTGTCCGTCTTTATTGGGTTCTTGATGATATTTTTACCTGACATTATTTGGTATCCAACTTAGACCCATAGTGCTTTAACTAATTCAAACCTCTAATAATGTTAAATCTTATTAGGAGGGCATAATAAAGATGCAGACTCTTTATCATTATTTAAATGTAGTGACCTTATTTAAGCATTGTGTTAAAGAATGTTCAAACCAGTATGGAGCTAAAGATCTTAAAAAAAAGTAAAGTTAAATGTTTTACTTTTTGACGAAGAAGTAAGAATTCAAAGCAATAGCAAAGTAGTGTATTTTAAATATTACCTGTAATTGCTGGTTTAACTTCATTTAAAACAAAAATTTGTTTTTCCATAATTTAAGATATTTCCTTTTTCTTTTATAATTCACAACTTTTTTTCTATTTTATACTCAATCCAAGTAGGTTTAATGAACTGTAATTAGTTACACACTCTTACATAGTTTTACTTTATATTCTAAATAGTTTAATAAAAATCAAGTAAATATGAAAGTTATTTAAAAAAAAGATTATGTAAGCAAATTTATTCATATATTTGCCGTACATATAACATTTACAAGTTTCGTAAATTAAATGTGTAATATTTACAAGTCTTGTGAGTCAAAATATATAGTGAAATTTATAATTAAATAGTACAGGCCGCACTTCAAGAGGATCGTAATGATCTTATCACGAACCCCTTACAATGTGTTTGATATATATTATGATTATGTTAAATATAATTATATATTAAGTACAACAATATTTTTATAATCTTTAAATTAAGCTCATAATAAAAAATAAACTCAAAATAAGCTCAGTATAAAAAATTAAACATAAGAAGCAGCATAATAACTAAAATTGATAAGAAAAAATCAAGTGTTTTTTTTTGTGAAAAATAAACAATTTTTGATATATTGTTTGAGAAAGGTAAGAGTAATACGCATAAACGAGTTAGATAATACGCATAAACGAGTCCGTTCACTTTGCAGTTGATATATATGTAATTTAATTTATAGTTTTAGAAGAATTCAGAGTATCTGTTTAGATTCAGTATCAGATTTTTTAACTTTGTTTTCAAGGAATTTTGAATATCTAGATTGCAAATTGATATATTTTTAGTTACTAGTTTGTTGTATTAAGGACCCCGATATGAAATTGAAAACTGGGAAAGTTTTGTTTTTTTTAAAAGTGTAATAAAGTTTCCTGTTTCTCTTGTGTTATATTTATTAACGTTATTTATAAAAAAGTTATTTGAAAAATGGTTTGGTACTTGATCTAATTTAAATTTTAACATAAACAATATATTTTGGTAAATGTTAATTTGATAAATATTAAACACATTCATTGCTTTAAATAAGGTTTCAGCGTGTGTAAATTTGTCTTTATAGTAGATTAGTCTTACAGCATGCTTCTGACGTTGATATAAAGTTTTCAATTTGGTTATATGCCTACTCGCCCAAGCTATATTCGCATATATGAGGTAGCTATGTATAAAAAAGAAATATATAAGTTTTACTTTTCAAAACTTATGCTGTCGAAAATTACTTTTCGACAGCATAGGTTTTGATTTATAAAGTAGGCCTATGTTTTTTGATATTTTAGTGTTTAAAGCATTTTTGTGAGCTTTCCAAGATAAATTTTCATCAATTATAACTCCTAAAAATTTTGTTTCGCGAGTTCTTTCAATTACTATATTTTCTATTTTTAGTGAGGGTAGAATATTTGGTAGTGCGTTTCTTTGTTGATTTGAATGAAATAAAGTGTATTTTGTTTTTTCTATGTTTATCGATAACTTACTTGTTTTAAACCATATATTTAATTTTTAGAGTTCTATCTTTACATTATCATACAGATCCTTGATGTTTGTCGAAGAGTAAAATAAATTTGTAGCGTCTGCAAACATTATAAATTCAAGTTTGCTAGAAACTTTTGGAAGGTCGTTTATATAGATTAGGAACAAAAGAGGAGCAAAAATTGAACCTTGAGGAACACCACATATATATATATATATATATATATATATATATATATTATATATATATATATATATATATATATATATATATATATATATATATATATATATATATATATATATATATATATATATATATATATATATATATATATATATTTATATACATATATATGTATATATATGTATATATATATGTTTATATATACATATATATGTATGTATATATATGTATGTATATATATATATATATATATATATATATATATATATATATATATATATATATATATATATATATATATATATATATAGAGAGAGAGAGAGAGAGAGAGAGAGAGAGAGAAAGAGAGAGTGAGAGACTTTGTATGTATTCTCCCTCCCCTTATTTTATTTCTAGAAACGCCTCTGTACACATGAGCTGGTAAAAATCAGAATGGTCAAGTCAACGATTTCTCAATTTAAGGTTTTTAAGGTTTTTTTAGATTATTATATTACAGTGGTTAGTTTTTGTTAGATATTATATTATATTACTTTATTGTTTTACTAAATATTATATTACAGTGGAAAAAACTGCTATAACTTGATATTTCATATATAAAAAATATTTTAAAAAGTAATATTAAATTGATAAAAAGAATTAAAACATTGTAATTTTTGATCACTTTTGTGATGGCGAATAAACTTCAATGAAAATTTAAGCTCATCCTTAAGGTAAATAGACTAAACTCTTTTTATAAATATAATCAATGTATAATTCAAAAATTAAAATTGAGAGCAATCAGTTTGTTAACACAAGGATTTACAATATTCAATATCCCCTACAAATCAAACCCCTGAAGCATACGCTTTAGCGAATTCGTTGAAATCAATAATGCCGTTTCCATCAGCGTCTAATTTTCTCACAAACTCGTTAACTTCTTCTTCAGAGAGTTTATTTGGCAATAGATTACACGCTTCCTTAATTTCGTCTACGGAAAGGGTATTACTTCCATCTTTGTCAAAAGTTTTAAAAACTTCATATGCTTCGTTGTAAGATTTATCAAAAGATATTACACTTGATATTAATTCTCTAAACTCAGCTAGATTAAGCTGCCTGTTTCCATCGCTATCAAACTCGTATATCATCTTTTTTACATCGTCAACTTTTACTTTTATACCCAGTCTTTTGAACATTACTCCAAGCTCTTTTAAAGAAATTTTTCCGTCTCCACTTGAATCAACTTCGTGAAACAATTTTTCTATTTCATCCGCCATTTTGTTTAAGTTTAAGTCGAATTTTTAATTATTCAATATAAAATGATTTAAAAACCACTGTTATTTATTCACAATGACATGGTTCGTTATAACACTTAAAACATAACAATGACGACATTGTTTTAACTAAAAAGGATCGTTTTCAGACCTTTTTTAATTCCTTTTGTGCAAAGTGTTTGTTTATATTTCATCACATTTCTTGTTGTCATGTAAATTATGCAATTTGATGTTTAGACTACACTGTAAGTTTTTGCAAATATATATATATATATATATATATATATATATATATATATATATATATGTATATATATATATATATATATATATATATATATATAATATATATATATATATATATATATATATATATATATATATATAATGCAAACTAAAACAATTATTATATTAAGGCTAAATTAAATGATTCAGCTAATCCACATTAATATATAGAGATTGTTTATTGTTTATATTTTAATGAAAACTTGTCAACAAAAAATCTTGTCAACAAAAAATCTTTTATAATTTTACGGAAGTTAAATTAATTTTAGTACAAATGCATTTAAAAAAAGTCACATGGTAATAAAAAAAAATTTACATTGTGATAATTAGTTAAAACATCCAATTAAAACGTTGGTCAAGTTCAAAAATTTTGTCAATCAATGACTGTTGTTTTATTATTATCAAGTTAAAGCTATTTATAAGAATTTAAATTATAATAAAATGATATTTAATTTATATAAAAATTGAGATATTACTTAATTTATGTATATATACATATATATATATATATACATATATATATATATATATATATATATATATATATATATATATATATATATATATATATATATATATATATATATATATATATATATATATATATATATATATATATATATATATATACATATATATATATATATATATATATATACATATATATATATATATATATATATATATATATATATATATATATATATATATATATATATATATATATATATATATATATATATATATACATATATATAATTTTTTTGACCCATCCTAATATATATACATATATAAGGCTTATTTTAGTATGTCCTTTAATTGCACAGTATGGTACAAAATGCTTTGCACTGTCTTTGCTGGTGTTCTTGATCACCTAAAATATTCATCATCTTCTACAAAACAGATATCTGAAAAAATTTGGCTTTTCAGCACATGAACGTATGAAATTTGGTCCTTGAATCCAGACTTGGATTCAAGAACCAAATTTCATACGTAAAATATTGAAAATATTTTCTTTAAGGTGGTATCCCAAGAAATACATTAAAATCTGACTGGAACTAGAGCACATATTCATTTTTACAACATAATTATACGATTTAAAAAAAAAAATTAAAAAATGCTTTAAAACTTGAAATCTTTGCCTCAGTTACCCTAAAAAAATGAAAGAGACCAAACTTTTGTGAAGTAATTAAAAGTGAGCTAAAACACTAATATAACAAAATTTCAAGATCTTAAACGCATTGAACAAAAATCATTTTGCAAACTTTAAAATTTAGTGAAAAAGTATATTTTGATATTTTGCAAAATAAAAATAAAAATTACTTAAAAAGCAAAAAAATATATAATTTTTGGAAGAAATATAATAAAATCAAAACCTCCAGATTCATATGGTACTTTTTCAGTTTTCTTAACTTTTTTTGAGTATCCTTTTTTAACTGTTTACCTCTTTTTATTCCTTGGGAATAGATTTTTTTATTGACAATCGTTAGTGATTAAAACTTTTTTGCTTTGCTATAATTGTTGTTTCATAACCAATAAGACCAAACTCTGATAATACAGACAAAACACCACTCGCACCATCATTAAAATTCAATATTACAGAACTTATTCCAATCTCCAGTGCTGATCGGTTCATAAAAATCATTTTGGGACAGCGTTTCCAGATTATTGAATTGAGCGCCTTTTATGTTCGATCATGAAAACATTTTGAAAACAATTCGTCTGCTAATAAATCCTGAAAAATTGGTATTAATAAACTAAAAATTTCTATTAGTAATGACGTTCTTTGTATGTGTTTGTACAATAAAACTTATGATATTTCCACCAACTATTTTCATTTTGCAGGCACATTCTATGTTGTTATTCTTGATTATCAAGTTTATTGCAGTGAAAAAGTACTGCCCAAACTGCTTTCTTCATAGCATACAAACTATGAATATAGTTTCTAATTGCTAAACCATAATAGTTTCGGAAAAAGTTTAATACTGATTCTGTAAGTATACCCTTATCCTGCAGACAGGTCTGTTTCTTTTTATTTATTTTAACCAGATTCCTGAGCGAGTGCCTAGACCTTTATGTATATGACCGATGCATTCTAACTTCACAGAAGTGATACTATACTTCTTATATGGGTTACTTTGAATGACATCATTGAATGATAAAGTGCCTCCATTTTCAAGATGGAGACACATCATCATTCTTCACCCTTTATATATAAAATTATACTTTTCGAGATAGCACCAGCTGATTCCATTGAACCTTTTATGATACTGCATATATGATTAACACGCAATTTATCATAGTCAGGGGTATTAGTTTTATTTTTCCAGTATTGACAAACACTAAAATGCACAGTGGGTCAGAATTGTCTAAAAATGGCAAAACTATTTATGGGTTAAATATAGACATACATGTTTATAGAGATTTTTAGGGCCAAGGATTTCAATTTTGGGCTCCATTTTTTTTTTTTGGATTGGTTATGATCACACAAGTGGTTATTTTAAGTGTTATTGAGGGTGGTCATTGGGTATCTAAAACTGTGGTCAGGGAATTCAAATCTGGGCATATTTAATTTTTAGAGGTGGTCAAGACCGCTCAAATGGTCATTTTACTTGTGGTCAAGGGTGGTCCTGAGATGTCCTGATGTTTTTTAACTAAATGCGACATGTGTTATTCTAAATATAGGTAATGCGGTTAGGAAATTTGAAACTGGGCATATTTGGTATTCAGGAATGACCGCTCAGGTGATCATTTTAGGGGTGGTCTAAGGTGGTCCTGGAATATCTTGATGGTTTTACAATTAAATGGTACATTTTGTATGTATAAATATAGGTAATTAGTATCAGGAAAATCAAACCTGTCCATATTTGGTCTCCAAGAGTGGTTATAATTCCACAGGTAGGTGTGATCTTGAGTTGTCTAGATATTTTCGTAATTTTTATTTAATTTTTGTTCTTGTGAATATTATTGTGAATAAAAACAAATAACGTTCAATAAAATTGAACTATGTTAACATATTTTATATATAAATCTAGGTAATGACATCCATTATTACAATAAGAACCCCTTGGCCTTTTCAGGTTGATTGGAGTCTTTGACTTTTCCTTGACTCCTCCTTATAGTGGACACCTTAGTAACGCAGCTACAGAGCATTTTCATCTTAAGATCATAACTTGTTTGAGGCCTGGAGAATTTCATTGTGTAGTGCTCTCTATTGTTTTAGTATAAAACATTAGTATTAAGGTGTATGAAATGTTTTTCACAATTAATTTACTGTTTTTTCATTTTATAGGCGTTATTTAAATGAACAAAATACATTTGACGCATTTAAATTAAATTTTTCTAAACAAAAACAGCATTTTAGAAAAGTTGTTTAGACGGCATTAAAAGTAAAATTACTAGATGATTCTAATTTTCTCGCTTTCAACTCAATAAAAAATTAAAAATCTTTTACTCTCGTAAAAAAACTAATTTCTCTTTATTAAACTTTTCTTTTTACATAAAAACTTTTTGCAAACATAAACATAAATATTTATTAATTATATTCATTTAAGTGACACTTAAGTTAAGGGTTTTTAGGTGTTTGACATTTTTTTGTTTTGATTTGGTGTATGAGCTAACTTCCGGACAAGGAGTAAACTCCAAACATTTGCATGTTTACACTTATGTCAAATAATGACGCTTTGCAAAAAATTGCAATGATTGAAGGCTGGAAGCTAATATAGATTTGGAGGCTGGAAACAAATAAGCCTCAAAATTTTTTCCTCTTCCTCTCCCCCACACCAAACGTGAGGGCAACAAGTTGATAAACTATTTTTTGTACTATTTTCGACTTACATTCATCGATGAATTTTAAGTTTCACAGTATTATTTCTCAGCATTCAAAAATTATGATCATATAAAGTTTATAAATTATGACCATAAAAAATTATGACCATATCAATTAAGACAATATAAAACCCCCTCAATTTGAGTGGGTTAAAAATTTTATATGGTCATAATTTTTGAACGCTGAGAGACAATATTACGAAACTTAAAATTATTTGATGGATATAAGTCAAGTTGAAAATAGAACAAAAATTTTTATCAACTTGTTGCCCTCACGTTTGGGGTGAGGGGGAATGAAATTTTGGGGTTTATTTGTTCCCAGCCTCGAAATCTATATTTGTTTCCATCCTCTTTCATAAAATGTTCCATAACTTTTTACAATAACATTAAAAGTGCTATTTAAAAAAGATTTTAACAAAGCTTTAATGATTAAAACTGTTCTTTATGCGTCCTCTTCAATTTTTTAAAACAAAATCTACAATTGGATTTTATTTATAAAAAAAAAGCCATGTACCCATGCTCAGCTCAGTTAAGAAAATTTGGTAATAAATTTTTATCTATATATGAGAGTGTAACTTAAAGTAAATCACTAGTGGACTAATATAAACCGTTAAAAAATTAAAATGTTGTAAAACTTTTTTGCTAGCCTCATATTCATATGTATATGATTTTTTACATTTTCACCAATATTTGAATAATAAAACAATTTTGTGGTAAAATTGATATACTGAGCTCAAACATTGCAGTAGGGAAAAATTTATATCAGTTTTAGAGTGCTGGGGGTCTCTAGATCACATTTACAAAAAAAAATTATTCGAATATAAAAGTTGGTTTTGAAGGGTTTTGCTCACCTCAAACCTAATTTGCAATGTTTTGAAAGAAATTCATAGTCTATGCACTTTTTACCAATCAATGCTGTCGTGACTCTATTAAGAGACAGATACCCAAGTTTTTGCTACGTGCCATCAATTATTATATAATAGTAGTAAGGATCTTCCAGATTATTTGTTATGCATTCTTAGACTGCCTTATTCATACTTTTATTTGCAGCATTCATATAAGCAGTATTTACTTGACTGTTTTATTTTTTTATTTAAATTTTCAAAAGCATTTTACTCATTGCAAAAGATT